CTTCACCAAAACGACCATGAAAAAATATATTTTGTTGGCTTTCTTTTTGCTTTTTACATTATCAGCTGCATCCTTCGCCGAAAAAGACCTAATCGAAATACTTTCGTCGTTCTTGGTCATTCTGATTTTTTTTTTTCGTTTTTTGTTTTGGCACTGCGGTGTCAACGGTCTTCTTCTTTACGCCGAGAAGACCGTTCGAGGAGGCATGGACGTTTACTTCGGGGCGAAGCACGACGCCGTGGAGTTCGTGGGATACCTCTCTTCGGTGGCTCCGATCAGGTCCAGAGAATCCACCAAGGCGAGAAAGAAGAGGAGGCACTCGAGCGCGGGACGCTGGGTTGATTGTTTGCCTGTGCTGTTGTAGTAGTAGTTGTTGGTGGTGGTGGTGGCGGTGGTGGTGTTGTTGCTGGTGTTGTTGCTGTTGAATCCTCACCCCAACCCCTTGCGTTGTGTGGGATACTCGACACTCATCTACGGGTACCCGCCCCAGACGCTTGGGTCTGCATGCTGCGTCGCTACCGGTCTTGAGTCAACCTTCATTCTACTGTGAAACCGAATCACAGTGTTTTTCTTTTTTTGTCCCCTCCTGTGGTCACAGCAATGCAGTGCTGTGTGGTGCGGTGCGGTGTTATTTTTCCATATCTAAATGGGACGGTACGGTGTCACCGCATCGTCCCATAAACCCGCACCATATTTTTCAGGGATATTCACGTTAGAGGACGGAACCGCGGTGGGTTTTTTCATGGATGTTCGCACATGGTCACGGTCGGTTGCGGGGTTTATCATCTGGATATTTTTGACGGTATGAAGAATGTCACCGTACCGCTCCTTCCTTTAAAATCCGTACCGTGAACACGTATCCTGTTTTTATTTTTTTAGTTTCTTAGTTTGACACAACGAATCCATCTCTATCTTAGAAAAGAGTCAGAGACAGATTACCAATGAATTCATAGCGTCAGAAAGTACCTGTATGTCTACGATTTCCCAGACAGCACACAGGGACATCTCCCCTGCGGGTAACAGGCTCCACAAAACAGTTTGGTAGCTGTGTTTGTTTTTATTTCATCCTCTTTGTCTACGTGTCGTCTCTCCCCTCTTTCGACCCCCTCTCCACCCCCCCCCCCTCTCTGCCTCGCTCTCTCTCCCTCCCTCCCCCCCTCCCTTTCCCTCTCTCTCTCCACAGCTGGTTTCGACGGACAACCACAGCAACGTGCGCAACACCCAGCACACGGTTGCGGTCGACGTGCCCACCCTGTGTCGCGACGACCTTGTGGCCCTCCCGAGGGGATCGGGCAACAGGCTGCAGGGGACGATCACAGTGGTTCAGAGGGTGACCTCTGTCGTGCAGTTCGTCGGGCCGTCTTCGGGTCAGACGTGAGTTAGCAGGGTGGTGCTGACGTCATCTCGTTCGCTGTGCCTGTTGCGCTCTCGCGCTTTCTCTCTGTCTCTTGCCTCTGCTTGTCTCTGCCTCTGTTTGTCTTTCTCTCATTGTCTCTGTCTCTCTATCTGTCTATCTGTCTTGTCTCTTGTCTCTATCTATCTCCGTCTCTGTCTCTCTCTCCTCTCTTTCTCTCTTTCTCTCTCTTTCTCTCTCTTTTTCTCTCTTTCTCTCTCTTTCTCTCTCTTTCTCTCTCTTTCTCGCTGTCTCTCTTTCTCGCTTTCTCTCTTTCCCTCTATTCCTTTCAGTCTCTGTCCCCCTACCCCCCCCGGTGTTTGCCATCGGGGTTTGGGTTTTCGTCGCTTGGCAACGACGTTGTAAAACAAGCCCCCCACTCGGTGTTTGCCATCGGGATTGGGTTTTCGTCGCTTGGCAACGACGTTGTAAAACAAGCCAATTCACTTCGTGAACTCGGCAACCAGGTTACCGTTTTTTTTTTTTTTACCTCGGTTTTTTTTTTGGCGGTAACCATAATGGTGGTCGAGTAGATCATGTTGTGCGGGGTCGAGAAACCTCACTCCGCGCAACGGGGGATGATCGCACCACGTTGTGTTAAAATGGTCAAGCTTCCTCGAGGCAGTTACACAGTGCTTGCAACTGTCTCTGGAAGTGAAAGCACCAGAAAATAAATTAAGTCATACGTAGCTGTCATCCGTACGCAAGGAAGTAAGCACAAGATGCCGAATACCCTTAGCAGGATGCAGCTCACCCTTCATGCGACTCGCCAAATACCTCACGGCGCTTCGCGCTTGGTGATGTGAGAGCCTGGTCCGGTGAGAACCCGGCGTGCTCCGTCCCGGCTTTGTAGGGATGCGAGGTCAATGGTCAAACGACTACGGCATGCACGACTATGAGTACACCCCCCCCCCCCCCCCTCTCTCGGCATCTGGTTGAAACAGCAGTAGTCTCTTTTGTTTGTGTCCAATATCGGCCTGTAGATGGCAACAACTTTGAACGTTCGCCACGGTGTGAAATCGCAGTGTACACTACACGACACAAATGCCGTTTTTAGCACAAAGTTATTTCTTCACCGATGGTGTCAACTAGCTCCTAGGTGAAGGTTCCTTCGGTTTACCCCTCCCGCTCTCCTCGGTATGCACGACAAGACAGACATGACCGGCAAAACCCCTCCCACAAATTGATTTTGGCTATTTTCCACGTGCAGTTCTTCCTCTTCGCTGCTGACGGTGCCGACATGCCCGCAGATCGGTACTGGCGCTCTCCCCTCCGAACGACTAATCCCGGCTATTTCCACTCGAACCCACGGCTCTTCTTCTTTTTTTCTGCTGACAGCGCCGACATGCCCGCAGACCGGTACTGGCGCTCCCCCCCCGAGCCCCTCCTGTCCGCGTCCTCCCTCACCGAGTTCGTCGTTCTTGACAGCGAGCCGGCGGATGGGTTTTCCGCCGCAGGAGGCGGTGGGGGAGGGGGGGGAGGGGGGAAGAAGGAGAGACACGCCGCCGCGTCTTCGGCAGCTGGGACGAAGAACAAAAGTCTGTGGGAAGTTGTGGTGAGACGGCTCCCCGTTAACACGGCTCTTCTCGTGTGTGTGTGTGTGTGTGTGTGTGTGTATGTATGTGTGTGTGTGTATGTGTGTGTGTTGTGTATGTATGGGTGTGTGTGCGTTTTTTTATATTGTTAGCGTTGACCGCGCTAACCGGCCGACCAATGAAAAGACGCCAGTCTCAGTGCGGTTGAAAACGCGAAACACTTGTAAATGTCATTAACAACTGGGACCCCGTGAGGGGCCCGTGAGGGGCCCGTGAGGGGGCGGCGTTGGGGAGACTAGTCTATTCTCCGGATCAAAGACAGGAACCGTAGCAGTAGAAGAAAACTGCACGTGTCGATGAAGGCTGCGACCTTGCACTCGAGTTCGTCCTAAAGTGCTTTCACCATCGTCCTTCTTGCTTTCACTACCATCGTTCTCATAATCGTTTTCACGGCAACTTTTCGACATTTCTTCTCTGGCCCTGCGTCATTTGTGTTTCTGTTATTTAATCTATTTATTTTATGGAAGACAGCATGAAGAACAAGGGTCTCTAGGAGGTTGTCGTGAGACAGACCCCCCCCCGTTGCGCAAGAGGAACAAAACAGTAACTTTCTTTTTTTCGAGTCGAGGTCCCACGCGGCAACAATGCTGTGTTTATGAGCACCGATTTTACGTGACGAACAACAAGAAAAATGCAATGTGCTCATCATGAAACGGAGGCCATTGTCTGCTTTTTGCACCGGTTGTGTGGAGATCATCTTGTAGATTTTTTTTTGTTTATGAAAATGATGGTAGGAAGATAGGGTTAACAAACACGACTCAGTGGCGGAATCCGAGACTAATCTCATGAAGGTGCGTACTTCATTTCAAACATGCGTGCTCGCTGCTGCTGCTCTCTAAACGTGTTGCCAGAAAAAGGAGGCCCTCCACAGTGACGTCGGTAGCGCGATCAAAGGGCCTATTTTATATAAGATTTAGTGTGGTAATAGCAAAACCTATGTTAGCCTGAACACATTTGTACATTTATTGTTTTTCGCTCGTGGAGGCTGGCTCTATTCTATGCACACTTTGGTGCCACGCTCCCATTCACTCCGACGTAAAACCTGCGTGCTTGCTACTCCTGCTCGTATCTCAACTTGTTGTGGCGAAAAAGGTGGCCCTAGACAGCGACGTCGGTAGCGCGGTGAAAGGGTCATATTATAAACGATTTAGTGCGGTGGTAGCAAAACTGTGCACTTCTGTACATTGAGTACGCTTGATTGTTTTAAGCTTGGCTTTAGTGTCACGCTCCTCTTTTCCGCATGCGTATTTCAAACCTGCGTGCTTGTTACTCGCGCTGGTATCTCAATGTGCTGTCGCGAAAAAGGTGGCCCTAGACAGCGACGTCGGTAGCGCGGACGACACCTTCACGGTGTTGACGCACCTCAGCGCGGACTCGGCGGGGCTGCATCCCCTCGAGGCGGGCGACATGCTGCTGGGCTACGACCTCAGGTGTGCATGCGCTACAGTCGTAATGGCTACGGTCTACGGTCCATGCACAACAATTTGTCCATTCACGTTTTCCGCGATAACTTTTGAACAAAAATGATTTGAAACGCGAAACAACAATCGATACTCGTGATCGCCTCTTCGAGCTACGTCGATAGCTGCAGAGTGTGTTTTTTTCATTTTGGGAAAATGCAACATTTGGGGCAAAATGATCCACCGAACCCCCCCCCCAAACCACCATGGTACAGTGTAAGAAATATTTATTTTGTTCGGTGTGGTATTGGTCGTTGATTTTTTTGTTATTTGCACCGATCGCGCTAAAGGGTTGACCAATGCACAGACGTCAGTCTCAGTGCGGTTGGAAACACAAAATGCTTCGAAAGGCCGCCATGATCTGGGACCCCGTGAGGGGGCGCCGTTGGGGAGTCTATGCTACTCTCCGGATTGCAGACAGATGCCTTGGTAGCAATAACAGAGGAAAACTGCACGTGTGTACCATGGGTGCAAGGCTTTTCTTGTCCTCAACAATCATCACACACACTAACTCTGCTTCGGCGTTTCTTGTCGTCGCTCGCAGGGGGAAGAATTTCAACGAGGCTCTCCTGAGCGGGCTATCCGGCGACGTTCCAGACATCGTCCTTGTCAAGAGGGCGCCTCCGCCAAAGACAGCACAATCCAAGGTACTGTGCCGTTTTTTTTTTTAATTTTACAGAGAATCGATAGAAGGACTACCCGTTCGAGGTTTTATCTTTTTTTTTGCACAGCACAATACCAGGTATTCCTCTTTTTGCACCCCACAATGCAAGGGGATGTTCCGGATGTCGTCCTCTTGAAGAGAACGCATCCACCGAAGACAGCCCAACCCAAGGTGCTGTTACCGCTCTGTTAGGAACTATACATGTAACTTTTTTCGTGCACAGCACAATGCCAGGTGTAACCGTTTTTTTCAGTGTAACAGCACAATGCAAAGGTGCTGACTGCACAGCACAATCCAGGGGATGCAGCGCTTTACTTTTTGCGCACAGCTCTACGCAAGGTGTACTTTTTCTTTGTCCTCTCTTTTGCCCGAAACTCTCACGTCTGAATATGACCGAAATTTCCTGTGTGGCCTTTCTCCTGTGTTGTAATCCTGGCACAAGCGTCCCGAAAGTAGATGAGGAGACACAATTCACGAATGCGTTTCTACGCGTCCATCCTTCACACACTTCTACTGACGATGGTTTTTAGAGACGGTGCATGATCAAGAAAAAATGAACAGTAACACCCGGAGACTGCGGATGGTAAGAAAATTGCTCTTGCATTTTGCATCAACAAGAAGATTAACCATTTCCAGAGAAAAGTATTCACAAATTGCAGAGAAGAAGAGACTGCGGATGGTAAGAAAATTGCTCTTTCATTTTGAATCAACAAGAAGGTTAACCATTTCCAGGGAAAAAGATTCACATAATGCAGAGAAGAAGATTACCCCTTCCAAGCTGAAAAAGGGCTACACGCTATGGTTAATGAGCATGAAGATTTACAACACCCAGAGGTTATAATCAAGAATTTTGCATTACATTCAGAGACTTTTATTTTCGGCGAAACGAGACATTTGTCGCGATGCTACGATCGTAAAGTAGGAACAAGACAATTCATACCATCCAGAGATTGCGATGACGAGACGAGGCGATTGTGGTGTGACCCGTGCCAAGCAGAAAAAACGCTGCAAGGTACGATCGTTGGACGATCCAAGAACGAGAAATTCAAACACTATCCAGACATTTCGATGACAAAACGAGACGATTATGGTGGCACTCGTTCGAAGCAGAAGGAGCGCTTCAAGCTGTGGCCGTTAGACGATCTATGAAAACGAAAATTCATGCTATCCAGACATTTCGATGACAAGTCGAGACGATTATGGTGGCACTCGTTCCAAGCAGAAGAAGCGCTACAAGCTACGGTCGTTGGACGGGACGGGTGGCGGCGAAGGAGGAGGGGCCGATCATGGCAAGGGGGGCAAGCGGGGGGCCGGCGGTGGCAGCGGGAAGGCTTCGAACACGGGAGGCAGCGATGAGAGAGAGGTGTGTACCTCAGAAGCTTACTCCTTGACTAGTTTGCTATTTTATTTCGGAACAGAGATGCCTCATGCCGCACGATAACCACGCACTCCCTCCCTGGCTGGTTCGCTTTTTTATTATCAATGATGCATCATTCCGCACGATCTCCACGTAGTCCCTCCCACACTGTTCAGCTATTTAATATGGCATTTAAACCTCATTCCATACGATGACCCTACTCCTTGACTTGTTCGCTGCTTTATTTTTCAACAAAGATGCCTCATGCCGCACGATACACACGTAATCCCTCCCTGGCTGGTTTGCTTTTTTTTTTAAGATCAATGATGCCTCATTCCACACGATACACACGTAGTCCCTCCCTGACTGTTAAGCTATTTTATATGGCAACATTTATACCTTATGCCACACGATGTCCTTACTCCTTGGCTGGTTCGCCGTTTTTTATTGCAACAGAGATACCTCATGCCGCACGATAACCACGCACTCCCTCTCTGGCTGGTTCGCTTTCTTTATGATCAATAATGCCTTCTTCCGCACGGTACCCACGTAGTCCCTCCCACACTGTTCAACTATTTTATATGGCAATATTTGTACCTCATTCCACACGATATCCTTACTCCCTGATTGGCTCGCCGGCGGTTTTTGGTAGCAGAGATACCTCACGCCGCATGATAACCAGGTACCCCCTCGCTGCCTGTTTGGCTATTTTTTGTTCATGTACAGCCTAGCCTCGTGTCCGCACAGTCAAGAAAGAAACAAACAGCGCATGTAAGCCTTGTGTCCAAGAACCACATGTCAGCCGTGGATCCTGCACTACACTCTTATCTATGTTCGCCGGTGGTGACAAAAAAATAAAGTGAAGCCTCGACCCCAAATTGACGTTTCTTATACGCGGGTGCAAAACTGTACTGATGTGGTGGGTGATGATCAGATCGCGGCACTCATCGAAGAGCTCTCCATGGACGAAGAGCTGAGGGCGGAGCTAGGGATCGTACCGGAGCCGGACGAAGGCCCTAGCAGAGCGGCGGCGGCCGACCCCAAAGGGGAATATGGAGAAGGGTAGGGGGGGTAGGGGCACCGCGACGGAGTTTTCGCCTACGTGGGGTAATCAATTGCCCAGATGAAAACGCCAGCGGAGCGATGGGGGCAAACCCTGAAAGAGAGGACGCGCAGAAGAAGGTTAGAAGGGGTAAGGACACTGGATGTTATCCTGCTGGGGTTATCCCTGGGCCAGATGAAGACGCCAGCAGAGCGATGGCGGCAGACCTGGAACATGAGGATACTAGAAGAACGGTAGGGGGGTTATGGCACCGCGTGGGGTTGTTCACGACTGTGACAAGCCAGGCACTCCCCGGCGAAAGTTGTCTTCCGCTCGGACTGCTGTGGAAGCGATAGACTGTCCAGGTGTACACCAGTGAGAATTGAGACCCAAGACGTTTTTGTGTTCTTTTGACTGCCGTGAAGATGTTTTGGTGGTTGACTGCTGTCCTTCGCTTGGCTATGTACGAGCTGTTGTCTACGGTTCGATCCCTTCTTCGTGAACAGTTTGGGGGGTCAGTCCCGAACAGGGTGACACGACAGCTTTCCGACAACGCACCATTTGATTTTGGCATCCTCTTCGTCGTTTGGAGAAAAATGAGGTCAAGGGGTGTGTGGTATCCTTTGCCACCTAGCGACGGTTATTTATCTTGCTGCAGTACGCGCTACGCGCCACAGCTTCGGTGTTGTTCGATTGTTCGTCTCGCGTGTGGCGAGACTGCAGCTTGACGACTGCTAGGGCGAGAGCGCCATTGGAGTTGAGAGGGCGAGGATCACGGGCGGGATCAGGAGTATCATGGCACGGCAGGTTTCCTTGAGACTGCTGGTGTCTGGTACACGGTAGTTAATAGTGGTGTTGGAGTTCAGCACTCAACCTCTTATTGCGGGGGAGATATCATAGGCTAGCTGTCGACCGAAGAGCGTCTTTCGTGAATGAAAAAGGGGAGAGAACCTCAGAAACGAGGAGGATTGAAGTCATACACACATTCGCAGGCCCTCTACAAGGCAGGTATGCGCCAGACCGATTAACCCGCCCTACGCAGGGCACCCACCTTATTCGATACGTAGGACAACTTGATTATTCCGTCTGTGCCTGCCGATTTTACCCGCCTTATGTATGACACCCGCCTTCTATAACCCGCCTTAATAGAGGGCCTACGACTGCTGTAGGAGAATCCGGAAGTGAGATATCATACCTGTCGACGGAGGGGGGTCCCGTGAGTGACAGGCGGGGGGTAATCAGCCTCAGAAACGAGGCAGGTTCAAAAATGGACGTGGGATAATCCTGAAGCCTCGTGTGGAAGAGATATGTAGATATCGCAGACTAGCTGTCCACCGAAGGGAGGCTTCCGTGGACGAAGAGGGAGGAGAGCCCCAGAACCGAGGCAGAGTGACAGTGAACGTAAGAATACTCGTAAGTGAGAGATATCATAGCTGTCGACGGAGGAAGGAGTCGCGTGTATGACAGGCGGGGGGGTAATCAGCCTCAATTGACGTGGGAGACCAAGTCTCGTGTGAGAGAGATATATAGATATCGCAGACTAGCTGCCGGCCGAGGAGGGGTTCCGCGGATGATAACATGGGGTATGAGGGCCTCAGGACCCGCAGAACGTTGAAGGTGGCGGTTGGGATATCGAGTCGTGTCGTCTGGAGTAGATTCGACTGCGTCTTGCGCATCCCGGAGATCAGAGGTGCTGGGAGGTCAACGACTTTCCTTTGACATCTCTTGGTGAGAAGGGTAAGTGAGGCTGTTGGCTCACTCCAAAGCCTTCACTCCGAAGCCTTAGACGGAGACATATTTATCACCGTTCCTTCACCGCTGCTGCTCTCTTCCTTTCGTGAGTTCCTGGGCCTTCGCGCAGACCTGCATGCTCAAGTTACGCATAAACATGCCGTTAGACTAGTCCTTTAGTCGCCTCTTTCTGTGCTGGGAACCAAAATGAACATTACCAGCACGGCACCCACTGCGCCATTTTTTGAGGATATTGTTGGTTGCTTCCGTCGCTGCGGGTGGTTGCTTTTGTCTTCGTTCCCCGCACATGGCTACTGTAATCATTCTTCTGGTCTGTCGCTGATCGGTACCTTCAAACATCTGCACCGGTCCACTGACGCGGACGCTCTCTGTGGTCACAAGCGTACTGCCCGAGAAAGGAGTAAACACACACTTCGAGAAATCAAGGAGAGAAGAATAGCATAGAAACGGCGTGTTCACAACCAGCGGTAGGATCAGGACCGCCCATTAACACCAGATGGCTACAGTGACGCTCCTTTTCGTGAAGGCGATATGTGATTTCATGGGGCCCGAATATACCTCGAAAACTCCAGATAGCACAATCCATTATCACCTCCTCCATTGGCTACAGCACGTCCCCGAGCAACAAATGTCAAACACGCTCACTCCCCGGCAAACGTCACACGAGCGTCACTCACTGACTGCAGAAATTCAAAAACATCAACACAGATGCCGTATACGACACAAGATAAGACACCCCCTGGACCGATTTTCAAAGCTCGATTTCTCAGCAGAAGAAAGAGCCACATCGCCAATAACGGCGGCGTTGAAGCCGTCTTGTCGAGAGCTTTCCGAAAATGTATCGTTTTTGTTTTCTCATCTTCTTCGTCGTGGCGTAGTCGAGCATTGAAAATCGCTCCAGTGGGTGTGTTATCTTGTGTCGTATACGGCATGTCGGTCCTACAGCACGGCGCTCACAGGCTAGAGATGCCGAACAGTCTGCCCTTTGGTGCATGTAGCCATTGGCGCACCACGCCCTTCAATTTTTTCTTTCATGAACGGAGCAGGCGCTTTATTCCATCAAACAGACCCGGGTGCTCGTCAACAAAAAAATGCCGAAGCTGCTCCACAACACAGCTTGCTCCAAGCGAACAACAATACCAAACCAAAAATTAGCAACATCATTGGTAGCCCAATCTGCAAAAAAACATAACTGGGTATTCATTAGAATAATACGTTGCATGACTCCGACATCAGAGGGTACTTTATAAAAGGGTAAGAGAGTCGAAATCGGTTGCACACGGAATCGGCCCTCTACAGTAGAGTTGGGTAATCTCTTATTCCGGTACAACATGCGGCTCCCACGCTAGAGGGTCGAAGGGCTTTGTGACACCACGCTCTTACATCGGAGCCACGACGCTGTACTCGCAACTCGAAAAGACGGTTTTCCGATACACGGAAAATGCGCCCTCGTTGTCATGGCGGGGCCAGGAGGTACTCCGTTACCACCTTCGAGAATGTCTTCGGGCTGGTGATATGGCAAAGATGTCCTCCCGGCAGTCCCTGGAAGCAGAGCAAATAATGATGAGGTGCGGGCGTTTGATAAAACGTTATTGTGATACTTCACTGCTGTAAAACGTTGCTGCAAATTCATTGTGCTTGCTGAAAGATTTCAATGTGTTCATTGACCACGGGTTTGAGTAAACGGCACAAATGCTTGTGAGCGCTGACTTCGGAGTGAAGACGGAAAAAAAAAAAAAGTGGACATTCATTCACCGTATCTTTGAAAAAAATCACTTGAGTTCCTTCATCGTAAGAAGTCACTGTGCTGATTGTAAAGGTTCTTTGTACTCATTGAAACATTTCGTTGAATTCGTTGTGAATAACCACTGTGTGAAGTGAAGCGAATTTGTGTATCCGTTGCAATGAATTAATTTGCGTCCCTTGCAAAACTGCTCATTCATTTCACAAATCATAATATATAAAAAAAAAAATCGGTCGACAACGGCCGATCGGCTGATCCCATATTTGTACCGACAAGCGGAGGAAAGTGTTGCGGTTTAACCACTGATCTTCGCGAGAGAGTAAACGCGTCAAACCAAAACGACAGCTACTGCTTTTACCAGTCGATACAAAAGGGCTGCTGTAATAGCGGTCATGATGTATTTCGCGGTCCGGAATAGTGCGGTTCCCGATATATCGCGGAAACAGTCCCTGGGCACAACAACCTACCCTGCTACTACTATCATTATTTCGGGATGTTTCCCCAACGCCGCGGGTCCCGATGTAAGGCGGCGACATTTTCTCTGTCACCACATCTGACAGTATTGAGAACACTCGGCGGGTCCACTGTACCAGAATCGCCCGACCGTTGCATGAAGGAGCAGCTGCTCCTGCCAGAATGGTTTGTGCCGAACCCAAAGCACTTTGAGGTTGTTTTGGCAATCGGGAATGAGCTGGTCCTGCTGCCTCTCGTATTGGTATCTTGCATCCCCCTTTCGAGGACACAGTGTGCGGCATATATATGAGACATCACACTCCGAAGACCGATTTTCAAAAGCTCGACTGGAGTACCCCACAGCAGAAAAAAGTGGTGGCACCGGAAAATGACGGAGTTGGAATCGTCTCTCGTCACGAGTTTCCAAAAATGCATCGATTACTATTTCACGCAAATCTCTTCGCCAGTGGATTGATCGTGAACTTTTGAATATCCGTCCGTCACCCGCGGTAGGCATGCGGTCCTCTCACCAGGGTCTTCGATCCCTCGATGCCGTCCAGCAGCTGCTGAGCCCCGGTTGCGGTGAAGGTGTCGTCTTCGCCATAAAGAACCAGGGCGCCCGTCTTGATGTCCTTGAGCTGTTTATCGGCGTGCCAAAAACGGAAGAAAAGCGACGCTTAGTGTGTACTTGTCGCGTCGGTTTTCTGTTGCTGTTGCTGACGTTGATGTTGCTGTAGTTGCTGCTGGTGTCTTCGAGCTTCGTATCGGCGTGCAAATCGGAACGCAACCCAACTCAACGGGATTTTGTTGTTGATGATGATACAGGGAACCACAACTGTCAGATGCATAGGCGAGCACCGCAAGGAGCGGATTGGAGACAAAAAACAAACACAAACACAACTTCTGCCGTCTGCCGTTGGGAACAGGTAGGACCACTTCTACCACATCAAAACCAAAACATATTCGACAAATACCCAAAGGTCGCCCCGGTGGTCTAGTTGGTATCCTCGAAACCTTCTAGTGGCCAGGTCAGGGGTCGAATCCCGGCGTAAGCGAGCTTTCCTTGCAAAGTAAGTTTTTCTCTCGCTTCCGCTCCTGGCCTAGTGGATAGCGCTAGTTCGTGTATACACAGAGGGCAGAGAGCGCTGAACTCTTCTCCCATCAAAAATCGAAGGCAGCATACCGCAGGAGGGGAGCGTAGAGAGGGGCTCTTCTGTGTGACCACGCGTTGGAGTGAACAGCACTAATGCTGTGAGCGCTGATTTGAAGTGAAGAAAAAAAAAGAAAAAAAAAAGGGAAAGACTGTTGTACATCCTCTGAATAGCTTCAAATAAAACCGATCCGGGAATCCGGGTTGTTAAGGAGTAGGGGGTATGATATCTTACGTATGCAACCTACGGTATGAACTTACGTCATCCGTTGTGTCACAGGAGAGGGCTAACTTGCCGGCAGGGTTTCATGAGATATCACACCCTGGACCAATTTTCGAAGCTGGATCACTCCACGACGAAAGAGGATCCTGACATCAATTATCCTGCCGAGAAATCGAGCTTGGAAAAATCGGACCAGGGGGTATGATATCTTACGTATGCAACCTACGGTATGGACTTACCTCATCCGTTGTGCCGCACGAGAGGGCTACCTTGCCGACAGGTTTTCATGAGATATCACACCCTGGACCAATTTTCGAAGCTGGATCACTCCACGACGAAAGAGGATGCTGACATCAATTATCCTGCCGAGAAATCGAGCTTTGAAAATCGGACCAGGGGGTATGATATCTTACGTATGCGACCTACGGTATGAACTTGCCTCATCCGTTGTGTCGAAGGAGAGGGCTATCTTGGTCCTGGCCATGACGGACCAGTGATGGGCGAAGCTGGCCTCCTTCAGGAACACGCGCTTCGCCCAACGGGGCTCGTGTTTTTCCACCTGTCCACATAGCAGCGGTAACAAAAATAAGAGAGAACAAAAGCTCGTTTTTCTCCACTTATCCACACCGGAGCGATAGCAACAAGAAGAGTTTAAAAGCTCGTGTGTTTCCACCTGTCCACACAGCAGCGACAACGAAAGAAGAGTTTATAAGAGCTCGCGTGTTTCCACCTGTCCACACCGCAGCAATATCAAAAAGAAGGGTTTAAAAAAGCTCGTGTGTTTCCACCTGTCCACAACGCAGCGATGACGAAAAGAGAAGAGAATGATAGAGACACCAGCTGGCATCGCTGGTACCAGTTCAGCCTTTTAGACTTCAATGGACTGAAAAAAACGCCCAGGATGTAATTGGTGGTTCGGTTTAGCGACCTGTCCTGATTGGCGGCCATATTTCGCCGTGACACTAGGGGTCGCTAAACAGGGGCCCCCCATGTATGGATTTCTACAGCGGTAGGGGGCGAATGTTCCTGCGTGGACGCAGTCGCATGGCTGAAAGAAGCGGTGGTACCGCTTGTCAGGCGCGGTCTAAAGACAACAGCAAGAGGACATATCTACAAACAAAAAACAAATGGCTGACAGCTTCACAACGCTACATGTGGGAGGTGCGCCGCTGCAAAGAAATGAGCCGAACGTTTTTCAGCACTTTGTACCGATCGATACGCAAGGCAAGTCGAGAATCACATGATTGCAAAGCAAATAGTCGTACTGCTCGTCACAACGCGGTGCAACAATCGATACGCAGAGAAAGTCGAGAGAGTCGCATGATCGCCAAAAACAAATGGTGGTACTGCCCGTCAAAATGCGGTGCCACAATCGATACGCAGGGCAAGTCGAGAGTGGCATGATTGCAGAGACACTACGTCCTTCCGGCAACAACTCCGTACACATCTAAACTGAACCCTCCTTTGGCTATATTCTGTTCTGCTCGCTCGGCAAAAAGGGAGGGCGAATCGCTATTCGTATTGTTGATTGCATCGCGCGTTCATTTCGAGGGGAGCTGGGGTATTAGTTGCTGAATACAATCTCTTAAAAGCATGATTTTTTTTTTCTGAATATAACCCAACGAATCCGTCTCTATCTAAGAAAATAGTCTATAACAAGATAGATTAGCAATTAATTCATAGCATCAGAGAAAGATTTTGGAATGCGGCGGGATGTCTCCCGTTTCGGCTGGATTACTGCCGTTTCACTAAGTGATGAAGTTCCTCACCACG